GTCGACTTCCAACCCTACTCCCACACCAATGCGACGAAGAATAAGGATAAATATCCAGCCAAAGATGGGGGAGAACGGCGGGAGAACAATCAAGGCAAATGAGATCGAGATCACCGAATGCCACAAGCTAAAGTGGAAGATCGAGATCGACGTCTGGGCGAAAGGGACTATGAAGAGAAGAAAAAGGCCTTCGTTCCTAAAGGATGATGCTTCTTGTGTAAGGGGCCACATCCGATGAGTAGTTGTCCTAAACTTGGTTCATTGTCCGCCATCGTCGATCGTCAAGACACAGAGTCTCAAGCCGAGATGGGGTCACTCCAAGTTCTAAACGCCTTGAAGGCCAAGTCGTTGACACCAACACCGAGTAATGGGCTCATGTATGTGGAAGCGGTGATCAACGAGAAGCTGACAAGAGCTATGGTGGACACGGGGGCTACCCACAATTTCGTGTCTAAAGATGAAGCCAACAATTTGGGCCTAAAGTACACTGGGAGTACAGAATGGCTCAAGACGGTAAATACACAAGCGGTACCACTCCATGGCGTGGCACGAGGGGTCGAGCTACGCTTAGGCACTTGGAAGGGCCAAGTGAACTTTTCAATCATTCCCATGGATGACTTCAAGGTCGTTTTGGGGTTGGACTTTCTCCGACAGGTAACCGCTATCCCTATGCATTCCTTTAGTTCAGTTTGCATCTTGGAGAAAGGGTCTCCTTACATGATCCCCACAATCGAGGCACCGAAAGAGCAAGGTCGAGATGCCAAACAACTCTCGGCCATACAACTTGGTAGAGGTATCAAGAAAGGGGCCATGACTTATTTGACCATGCTAAAGGAAGATGACGAGATCGAGAAAACGGATGACCTACCACCAATCATCCGTGAAGTCTTAGAGAAGAACAAGGATGTGATGCCGCCCGAGTTACCAAATAAACTTCCACCAAGGCGTGAGGTGGATCACAAGATCGAGTTGGAACCCGGTGCCAAGCCGCCTGCCCTGACACCATACCGAATGACCCCACCCGAACTTGAGGAACTTCAAAGGCAACTCAAGGAGCTAATCGATACGGGAAAGATTCGACCTTCGAAGGCATCGTATGGCGCACAGGTACTCTTCCAAAAGAAACACGATGGGTCGTTGCGCATGTGTGTCGATTACCGGGCACTTAACAAGGTAACAATTAAGAACCGCTACCCAATTCCTTTGATTGCCGATTTATTTGACAGACTTGGAGGAGCCAAGGTGTACACGAAGATGGACTTGCAAAAAGGCTACTACCAAGTCTGAATTGCAGAAGGCGACGAGCCAAAGACCGCATGCATCACCCGATACGGATCGTACGAGTGGTTGGTCATGCCCTTTGGTCTAACCAATGCACCGACAACGTTTTGCACGCTTATTAACAAGCTCTTCCAACCGTACTTGGACCAGTTCATGGTGGTGTACTTGGACGATATCGTGGTATATAGTAACTCCATGGAGGAGCATATAGACCACTTGAGGATTGTGTTCAAGATACTTCGAGAGAACGATCTGTACGTCAAGAAGGGAAAGTGCACGTTTGCCACTGAGGAAGTACACTTTCTTGGACATGTAATCGGCCACGGGAAGCTATTAATGGACAGGAACAAAATCAAGGCCATAACCGAGTGGGAGCTGCCGACCAAGGTAAGTGAGATGAGGTCTTTCCTTGGTCTAGTAAACTATTATCGTCGGTTTATACAGGGTTATTCAGCACGAGCATCACCATTGACGGACCTACTCAAGAAGGGGAAGGCATGGGAGTGGTCCGAACAATGTCAGAAGGCCTTTGAGGACCTGAAGGCAACAGTTAGCCAAGAACCTGTCTTGGCCTTACCCGACTTTACCATGTCGTTCGAGGTGCATACCGATGCATCTGACTTCGCTATCGGGGGAGTACTAATGCAAGAGAGACATCCGACAGCATTTGAGAGCCGCAAGCTAAACGACACCGAGAGACGGTACACGGTGCAAGAGAATGAGATAACGGCCATCATCCATTGCTTGCGGGTGTGAAGACATTACTTACTCGACGCACACTTCACCATCAAGACCGACAATGTGGCGACGAGTTACTTTCATACCCAAAAGAAGCTGTCACCGAAACAAGCCAGGTGGAAAGACTTCCTAGCCGAGTTCGACTATACGTTAGAATACAAGCCGGGCAAAGCCAACGTTGTAGCCGATGCCTTAAGTCGAAAGGCGGAGCTCGCCGCAATCTCTCTAGCCAAGGGAACCGTGTTGGAGCGCATCAAGGAGGGCCTTAAGCAAGATCCAATGACGAGAGAATTAGTAAAGCTGGCTAGCGATGGCAAAACCCAACGGTTCTGGGTAGAGGAAGGTCTACTCTACACCAAGGGACGGCGAATATATGTCCCAAAGTGGGACAACTTAAGGCGAGATCTTATCAAAGAGTGCCACAACACCAAGTGGGCTGGTCATCCGTGTCAAAAGTGCACTATGGCATTGCTAGAGACAACATATTTTTGGCCCCATATGAAGGATAGCGTGGAGCTTTACGTGAAGACTTGTCTTTAGTGCCAACAAGACAAAGTGGAGAACCGACAGCCGACAGGATTACTCGAACCTTTACCAGTTCCCCAAAGACCTTGGGATTCGATCACTTTGGATTTCATTAGTGCATTACCCAAGTCCGAGGGATACGGTTCGATCATGGTCGTCGTGGACCGATTTTCCAAGTATGGGACTTTCATACCATGCCCCAAGGATTGCACTGCGGAGGAGGCCGCACGAGCATTCTTCAAGAACGTCGTGAAGCATTGGGGCTTACCAAGGAGCATCATCAGCGATTGAGACCCTCGATTCACTGGACGCCTATGGACGGAATTATTCAAGCTCCTTGGCACCGAGTTAAATTTCTCCACAAGCTTTCACCCTCAAATTGATGGGCAGACCGAACGGGTGAACGCTTTGTTGGAGTGTTATTTGCGGCACTTGGTGAGTGCCAACCAGCGAGATTGGGCAAAGTTGCTAGACGTCGCCCAAGTCTCTTATAACCTGCAGCGGAGTGAAGCCACAGGCCGAAGTCCGTTCGAGCTTGCAACCGCACAACAATCGCTCACACCGCACACATTGACAATGTCACTTGACGAGGGCAAAAGTCCCGGAGCCACCAAGATGGCTAAGTCATGGGAGGAGAACGCCGACATCGCCCGCACATGTTTAGAGAAAGCGAGGAAGAATATGAAGAAGTGGGCGGACGAAAAGAGGCGACATCGAGAGTTCACCGTTGGTAACTTAGTCCTTGTGAAGCTTTTGCCACAACAATTCAAAGCACTCCGAAGCGTTCACAAAGGACTAATACGGAGATACGAGGGACCGTTCCAGGTACTTGCCAAGGTGGGTAAAGTGTCTTATCGCTTGGACTTGCCAAGCACACTTAAGATTCATCCGGTCTTCCATGTAAGTATGCTCAAGCCATATCACGCCGACAAGGAAGACCCAAGCCGAGGGTATTCACATCGAGCACCTCCCGTAGTAACCAAATCTTACGACAAAGAGCTTGAAACGATGCTCACAAGTAGGACAGTTCGCAAGAGAGGAGTTTCGCCGCGTACCGAGTATTTAATCAAATGGAAAGGACTACCAGAGTCCGAGGCAACATGGGAACTATCTGAAGACTTGTGGCAGTTCAAAGAACATCTCAAAGCGTACGAGGCGACGAGGACGACACCGGAATAGATGGGGGAGGATGTCACGAACTTGGGCTTTTTCCCCACACTTTGGGCTATTTTGGCTATGTTGGGCCACATTTGGTCTTGGAGGTTGATAGAATAGTGTAAATTATTCTAGAACACTCAAGACTTGTACATATTCTAGAAGCATTCTAGAGTCTTCCATGTTAGGTAGGAAATTATGGAGAATTCTAGAGAATCTCTCCCTACCGTAGGATCAAGTCAATCTCCACCGTCCATTGAGGAGGTGGGATGCTATAAATAGGTATAGAATCCTCATTTGTAAATCATCCAAGAGTTGTAAGCTTTCAAGCATATCAACAAGCTTTCTTTCAAAGTTCTTTCCTTTCTTCTTTGTTTCCTTGCCAATCCTTTCCCACCCTAGCACGAGTTCAAGTGAGGTTGACTTAGCTATCGCGAGGGGCGAAAAAGAGCTAAGGCTGCACGAGGCTTATTGAGAGATTAAGTCCGTGAAACTTTGCTCTATTTGATGAGTGGATTGAGAAATGCCTTGCTTCGAACGTCCAACGCCCATGTTTACGGGGCTTTGATTAACTGTCTCTGCAAGAGTGGGCAGATGGAGGCAGGTCAGCTGTTGCTGAATGATATGCAAAGTCAGGGGATTGTGGTAAATCATGCGATAGTTAATACACTTCTACATGGTTATTGCATAAGTGGTCGTTATGGAGAAGAAAGGTTTCGAGCCTGATGTATTTACTTACAACATTATGGCTAGTGGAATGAGTAGATTGAAACGACTCGAGGAAGAAAAATGATGGTTGTTCATGATGGTAGACAAGCGATTGAAGCCTAAAGCAGTCAACTTCACTACTTTGATTGATATTCATTGCAAAGAAGGGAATGTTGTCGAGGCGAAGAAGCTATTTCAACAGATGCAGAGAAGGGGGAGAGTCCTAATATTGTTACATATAATGTTCTTATCGATAGACAAAGCAAGAAAGGAGAACTGAAAGATGCGTATAAGCTAAAGGGTGAGATGGAAGCCAAAGGAACAACTCCAGATGTATATACATACATATCACTTGTGCATGGTGAATGTAGTTTTGGGAAGGTAGATGAGGCAATGAATCTGTTTAATGAAATGAGTTGAAAGGGTCTAGTTCCAAATGTAGCAACCTATACGGCGATGATTTCGGGATTGTCTAAGAAAGGGAGATCAGATGAAGCTTTTACACTTTACAATGAGATGATCAGTTTGGGCCTTGTGCCTGATCAAAGAGTTTATAGCTCACTTGTTGGTAGCCTTCATGCAACCTAAGGCCGATAGTTGAGCATACCTAAGGCCATGAGCCTAAACTCAGTGCTCCTTTTAAACAATGCAATGGATGGTCCTGATGTTTTATGCTTGTTGAGAATGGTTTTGGTTGACTTTGAGTATATATTTTCTACTATAGGCTCTTTACTGAGATGCTTGTTCGTTGCATCACTTTACGGTTGGTGCGGCATCCGGGAAGAAAGTCATGTTAATGGCCGGTGATTGAATTATATGACTTCTAAATCCATGCAGGCTTGTCTTTCTTATCATATATCTGTGAAATCTGCACTCGAAGAAACATAAACTCTTTGATTCAGCGGTCTCGTTTTAACCAGTGAGGCGTAGACTTCTTGTATTTGATTCAAGGTACCAGATCCTGTTATCTTCCTCAAAACGAGGATCATTATTTAGGTATATTTTAAAGTTCAGGGGTCAATTTAAAATCAGGGTCATTTTTTAGGGATATTTTGTATAGTTATCCCTTTTTTACAATAAATATATTACAATGCTTAAAACTTTGGGTTCAAGGATGAATTATATAATTATCTCTAATAACATTTTTCTATATATTTTAGTTTGATAAACATTTTTTGAAGTTATAATGTTTCAATTTAATAGTTAAGTATAAAAACAATAATTGACCCTCTATTGAATGTACTTGTGACTCTCAAACTTAGAAAAAAATCTATATGACCCTTTGATCAATGATTTCTATTGTTGACCGTTATGATATTGACTTGGCATGTCATGATGCTCACATGGCTGTCCACAATATGATTGATGACATGACTATATAGATTAATTAGGGTTTTTTTTGTTATTTAAGAGCTAAATTGTTTTTTTAAGTTCATGGATTTATTTAATTATTTTAAGTTCAGGGCAAAATTGTTTTCTTAATAAATTAAGAAAAATCTCATGTATACAGCGGTTGCTTCCAGTTTCCGGCAAAAATAAATTTCATGATAGTGTGATACCATGTATCTACATCTCATCTGATTTCTGATGAACTTGGGAACACAAAATGAAGCTTGTAGGATTAGCAATATAAGGAAGCATAGGAAAACTTACTTCCATGAAGGGGGTAAGACCAGGGCCATACTGGCGGAGTTTCTCTCCGAACCATCTTCAAGCAGCATGCAGATAGTCCCAGCTAAAGGTAATGTTTCAAAACCAGCAAATGCCAAGAACTTATTCAAGAACCAGTTGATTTGGAAAGCATTAATCTGTACATATGACTTAGGAGCACCTTGATCTATAACGTGTTGCTGCCCGTCTGAACGAATCCCAAATGGGTTCTCCTCAAGCCATGTATTTCCATTGATTTTTACACCGTGAAAATCATGCGAAGGATGAAGTTTGCCCTTTCCGTATTGAAAAAACTGTTCTTTCATTCTCATGGCAACTGCTTTGACATCAGATTGCAGAAAGACCTGAGAATCACAAAGCCGATAAATCAAACGTACGACTCTCGTTGTTGGCTTAGTTATAACTGAGCATGGCATTGTCTAAATTGCATTTATTTCATTTGATTATCGAGTAAGAAATCACTGCAATTCAGAAGTTCCATTCACTCTTGATATAAAAGATAACTATCTGTTATGTTATAATCAACAAGGGCATAGGAGATGGAAGCTAAAGAGTTCATCTACTGCAAAATGCCCTAAAAAAATGTTACCTTTCCCTTATGTGCAAGAAGATCAGCCACTGCTTCAATTAAAGACCTTTGCAGCATGCTCCACCTATTTTCCGGTTTGTTAAAATCCGGGTTTGGGCACTATATGGAAAATGTTATTATGCTTAAAGTTTGATATTATATTAGCATAAAGGAGGGGAACGAAGCCTATTTCATAATGCCATAAAAGCTATGACAAAAAAAATATGGCCATAAAAACAAGAGAATATCATAACAAGAACTCGGCAAACATCCTTGTCTTTGTCTACCTGTATTGAAACAAGAACCAATTCTCCTGGGCAACTGGAAACAATGGAACGGAACGTCGATGTTGCATTTGTACCGATTAAGTACCTAACACAGATGACCAAAGCAACATGGTGATGATACTGAAGTAATGTCAAAAATTATATTCAATTAATCTTTATCAGAGAACTGAAGTCAGATTAAAATTGATATAATAATTCGATTAGTCTTTATCATAGTACATATTTCTTCGTACTACATGCAAGACCTCTTATGAGTTCATTGTACCAGATTGATTAACTGAATCCAGACAGATCAACAGATTGGTGAAATAATAATCTCCAAACCCAGAAAATCATAAAACAGACCTTTCCATTAGTCTCCAAACCAAGAAAATTCAGATCCTTCCAACTTTGGGCCATTCCCATGATAAAGAGTCCATTGCCTGCCATAGACAATCCAGATGAAAGAATTTATTCTAAAGAGCAAAACAAGGCTCAAGGTACAAAATCATTCAACAAAGCCAGCCATTAAACTACAAATTGTGTAAAATAATAAATAAAATATAGATCACTAGAAAATGTTCCAGTCCCTCAAAAAAGCAGTATCCGGTTTTGTTATTCTTTTGTAACTATAATAAGAATAATTTGTTTAAGGAAACTAGAAGTACAGCTTCCAAAACAACCAAAGGTTGGGATGGATCATGGTAGGCAACATCCCAATCAAATGAAAATGGGTATGCCTGCACAGGGAGTATCCACTTTTAGCGGACTCCTAAAATTTGCAACTCTTGGTTCTTTAAATTCTAACCATTAGGTCCAATCCTTAGCATCTTATGCATCATTAAATAACGCATCAGCCCCGGAAGAATTGAAATATTGCATTGATGCTACTTTTAGTATCTCATTATTCATGTCAAGCACATTTCTATGTGGCCTTTGGGATTGAAAGTGAAAACTATAAGCATACGATGCAAAAAAACAAAGGAATGTACTTTGCATATGAAGTTGGTATACTCTATCTAAGGCCATAACTCCAGGCAGCTTTTGTTCATTGAGAAACTCCCATACACCTGAAACATTTTCCAGCATGGTAAAAGAAGACAAGGAGCTTGCTTAATTTTTTATTACTTCACATGCTGTACTCCCAACAATTGTTATCTCATACTCACATTGACTCTGTTTGTAAAGCATCTGAGCCAATTTAGAAGCTCCACCTGTGCATGGGCTGGAGGAACTGAATTTCCCTGGACCAATCCATATAATTTTCTGTAATATATTGAGCAAATACATAGGGTAAGTTGGAACATGATAATCATCATAATTAGCATTGAGCTGATCGAAATGGTTACTACAAAGAAAATCCCAAGACAAAAATGACACAGCCACATAAAACAGTCCCCCCGGCCCACAGACAAAAAAAAAGGGATTGAAAATTCTTCATACATGCTCGTTTTACTTCAGTAATGTTAAATCAATTAAAAAATAATTTAATGACTGACAACCACAGAAACAATCACACAAAAATTAACATCAAACTAAGGTTGTCAAATATAAAATTCAACATACTTCAGACCTCATAATCAGGAATATAAAGTGATTGATTTGTCTGCAAGATCATGGATCATATGCAACTAGGTAGACAAATTTCACCAATGTGTCCTAAAATTTCCAAGTAATGAATGTCTTAAGTGTGGAATGATAAATATCAATGATTTTCTTGCAAATATGATTTTATCACCATACTATGGATGGTAAACAACAATTTTGTATGAAGGACCTATGTTCGACCAAAAGTAATAGGCACTTGTCGTGGTACTACGAGTACCTTGGATTTTGTTATCATAGTATATTTCTTCCAATGACCTGGGTCTAAAATCAACAGGCAACCAACCTAAACCAAAAATCTGTATGAGTACTTTAAAAGAGAATAATCATTATCAATAAAACAATTTTATTATGGGTAAAGTACACAAATGGTCTTCCGACTATAAGACGCTAGTCTGTTGAGTCTCACAACTATTAAAAATTACAAAATGGTCACCTGACTATAGGGTGCTGCTTTATTGAGTCCCTCAAATATTAAAAGTTACAAAAGGGTCACCTGACAATTCATATGTTCCAAACTCGTTCGTTTTCGTTAAAAAATTGACAATCGCCTGAGTTGAAAGTTAACCTGCTAACTGGGATATGATAAAATCTAATCCCAGAGCTTTTTGAGCTAGTTTGATATTCCGGGATCAGATTTTATCATATCCCAATTAGCAAGTTAACGTTCAGCCTACACTACCGTCAAATTTTTAATAGAAAAAGGCGAATTTGGAACATATGAAGAATCGAGTGATCTTTTTATAACTTTTAATAGTCAGGGGACTCAACAAAGCAACGCCCTATAATCTAGGGATTATTTTGTAACTTTTAATAGTCGAAGGACTCAACAAAGTAATACCTTATAGTCGAGGGACCATTTGTGTACTTTACCCTTTTATTATAAAATTAGAAACTCAAACAGTAAAACTCAAAACTATATATCTACAATCAAACACACTGGAAAAAGGTTTATGAATCATAGATGCAGAGTAGCAGCATTTTCATTTCCAGCATAAACATGAATGTGAAGGAGAAATGATTCAAAATTATGGTCACTGCAATGCAAAAGTACAGCTAATAGATTGGTTCATAATTTCAAAAGTTAAGGTAAGTATGTTTTTAGATGCACAAAGAAATAACTAGAATGGAATACGATATTGAAGACTCTTGACGAAAAATTATGGTTTGAGTAGGCCTGGAGTCTTTACCCATCTCCTGCTAACCTTGGCTTCGAGAGAGTGAATGAGAGAACAACAACAACAAAAAGCACAATGTATATCAGAATGGATGCAATCCTACCATCAGGAACTCCATGAGCAGGAAAAACCTCCTATTGCTTAGGAAAGCCCTCATTCATACACCAAAATCTGTTGGACATGACATGAGAACATTTTTATCATGTGAAAATTGAACAATGTCTAAAGCTGCTTTATGTGCAACACGTTCCACCAGATTAATTGGAATAATATGTCCTAAAGCATGCATTATCGGAAAGGACATTTGTCCAACAAAGACCAATGCATCACATATAGATGCTAAAAATTGTAAAGCAGCAGCCTTGTTTTTGAGATTGCCCCCTCCAATCTGCATCAACAAGTTACTGACGAGTGAAGAACAGAAATCAATAGAAATATTTGTCCTATAATTGCAAGATAGAAATCCATAAATTGCAATAAATGGTTTTTTCTTAGTTTTTGCAATCTTCTTTAGCTGATGAAGGTTTTCTTCAAAGGAAAAACCAGCCATTGAGGCATAGCAGAAACGAGCAACACCGACTGTCGATGCAAGAATTTTATGAGACTGACCAAACGAGTCATTAACAAGAATATCAACTCCTGATGATAAAAGTTCAGCAAACTTTGAACAGTTGGCAACTTCCTCTTTATATTCAGAAAGATTGTCCAGGAGAAGGATGTCTGCTTTCTGCAGATCTTCCTTCTTCAGTGACATGTTGCAAGAAATGCATCTTAAATCAATAACTTTGTGCTGGATAACAGATTATAGGATATCAGAAATGCAGAGACAATAATACATTAACTACAGAGTAATCCTCAAACTAATGGTTTTAAGACTGGATAAAGATTGAATCATACCTCATTATTTATTATCTATATGATCCAAAACCCTCTGTTTATAGATATACATGAATTCTGAACAAGGATAATGAAATATTGTACTTTTATTTTGAGATATGACAACTCAACTATGCAAGTATTCCCCGTGTTAACAAAATAAGTGTAGGTTCTTACTGCTAGCACTCACCAGTAAAAGCTTCTTGTTGCAAACAAAAACCATCAAGAGCTAAAACTAAAATATGGAGTGGTTTAAAATACCTGCAACAGTTTGTGCAGCAGGAAGTTTGAAATTGATTTTCCTACTCCATCCACTCACGAGAATCACTTTAGCCCACATTCGTGTAAATACTTAATGGTGGAAATTGCTTTTGAAGCAGACTGAGAACTCAAATCCAGATTTTCTCCCAGCAAAATAGTAGAATCAAATCTCACCATAATAACTTTTGCAACAAGCTCCTCCCGAGGAAACTCTCTAAGAGTTTGTATGCGTGGCAAGGCCTCCAATTTTCCTTCACCGTAGACAAAAGTCAGGGGAAGAACATCCGATTTGAAGAGAAACATTAAACTCACAGCCAACTAATAATAAAATGACTTTCACCAACTTAAATCATATTAAGCTAATTTAGCCAAGAGGCCATACAAATGCAGCTATAAATAACCAGCCATACAACAGTAGAATCAATGTAATGAACCTACACTGTACATATTAAGTAGTTAATATTCCATGGAGCATGCATATGAAGAACTTTTCAGATGATCAATTAGAAACATATTCAGGCTTCTTCAAATTTTACACAGGGTCAAAGCAATAAGCTTACATAATCTTAAACTTCAAAAACATGCTATAATTATGTAATTCCTATAGAAACGTCAACTCAAAACGAAGGCCATAGTTTAAGGTACTTTTTCCTTATGAGAGCTTTTAACATGATTTACAACCTCCAAACCACCTACCAAGAAAATACCTTTGAGACAACAATGAAAAAATAAAAGAAAAAGAAGAAAGCTTGAGCCGTTAGTCTCAAAATTCATACCTCGGAAAGATGATTGAAAATTATTTGTGGGAAAAAATCGTGACCCATGTCGAAGCAACTTCTTTCTTTCCTACGAAAATTTTGGGAACTTAATTTGTTAAATAAAAGAGTTATCGGAAGTGTCTTCAAAACTTGACTCATTTTGCCCTGCCTAAAGAACAGGAAAAGGAGTTAAACATTACAGAAGGAAAAATGCTAAAAGTCCAGTCCAAATCTGCAACAAATTTCCAATACACCTGCAATTAAATACAACGAAAGCCAAGAGCTCGGAATGCAGATTTCAGGAGCGAAACTTCGTTTGTTTTACTGCATTTTCTTGGCAAACATAGATAAGACTGGAGTAGTAGAGGATGAAAAAGGCATTTAATAAGGAGTAATTCCATTTTTGTCCATTTGCTATGCTTAAATTTAAAATTTAATGCTTTAACTCGAAGTTGACATAAATTAGGCTTTTAAATCAACAAAGAGAAAAATTGTTAAAAAATTTGTAATGGAAGCTTGATTCGAATTTATTATTAGAGTTAATTTAAATGTTTTGTTAAGATTTTAAGTTTGATTCGAATTCAACTTTTTTAAAGTTTAAATAATTGAGAAATTAAAAAAAATAAAACAACATCGTTTTGGTCTTTAGCTAAGTAATTTTATTATTTTATAATTTACTCTCTAATGTGTTTGCCTTTTCAACTCTTCACTCGTTTTTAATCCGTTTTGACCCGATTTGACATTTTCCTCAACTAATGTAAATTACCTATATAGTTTTAATTCATCTTTTTGATAATATATTTTCATTTTTTAAAATTTGATCATTCAACTTTATATTATTTCTCTATTTTTAAATCCTCATTCATTTTAAGTCCATTTTTACTAGATTTAAATTAAATATTCTTCTACTATTATAGAATACATGTGTAACTTTAATTCATCTTTTTTTAAAAAATTTAAATTTCAACTTTTTTCTATCTAATCCATTAATATTTCGTTTTATTCAATTTGATCCTCCTATTATAGATCTTTGCAAAATTTTCTTCCCACCAGATCCTTATTCCTTTATACTCAAATCAATATTTTATCCTCAAAATCCATTCTCTTAAAATTAACAATAGAAATATATTAAATAATTTTAGATAATTTGTTGTTTATTAAAGGCTTAATATGAAAAAGTGTCTAAACTATACCTCGAAATATAATTTAGTGCCTAAAATTATTTTTAGCTAAAAATAGTTGCATAACATTTCCACTTTTAGGTGTATGGACCGTAACGACTGTTAAATTTGGTTGTATCTGACACGTATCACACATATAAAATTTAAAAAGTTATTTTATTTTTATAAAATAATATTATAACAAATAAATAAATAAAACCCCAAAATTTACATTTTCTATCATCAATCGGTCACCGTCGATCCATGACTGTCATTGTTGACACTATTAGAACGGTCTCGCCACCGTAACCAAAACTTGGTCTCTTTATTCATCGTGAAACTGCTTCAATCTTCATGAACAACGTCGCGAATGGTCACTAATTTTTTAGGTTTTTTGTTTATGTTTTATACTGATTTTGAAAACTACAGTCGTTCATACGTTACACAAGCACCGTTCTTATGTTCCTCATCGTGCTCCAAAAGAAGCTCGACCGATGGTGACTGCACGACAGGAGGATAGGGACAACAAGGGGAAGGGGAGTTTGATTTTTTTTTCTTTTTGAAAAAATAATATATTTATTATTAAAAAATTTAAAAATATAATAAGAAACATCTAAAAGTGTAACAAAGAAAACGTTAGACACATATTTTTATTGAAAAATTCTTTAGGTATCAAATCGTATTTTGAATTATAGTTTAAGAACTTATTTTTGTATTAAGTGTTTATTAAATAACATAACAAATCTCACATACATGAATATACATATATTGTATATGGTTAGAGAGTTGTTTAAATTAGAATCAATTGACACCATTACATTATAAAATAATTATATTTGAATTTGAATAGAAATTCAAACAAATATATCTGATTAAACTGAAGTCAAATTTTATATACTTGATCAAACTAAAAAATCCAAATAAAATTTGAATAATAAAATAATACCTTATAAATTGACTAACTCAAATTTCATTCAACTTAACTCGATTGAATGCTCGTACTAAACATAATAACACCATATAGGATTTTCTATAGGCTTGTTACTAGTAAGCTCATCAAGTATCATTGTTATTTCTCATACATAGAAGGTTAGTATTTATGTTTGCTTTTGAAAATAGGCAATGCAAACACATTTTTTCTACATATAGATGGTTAGTTTCCTTACTTTCAATTTTAATGGAGTTGATCAATTTGTTTATTTATAAACAATTAATAACGAAAGTGACCAGAATGTATTGTTTTAAAACTTTGATGACCAAAAGGGAACAAAGCTAAACAAAATTGACAATTTTTGTAGTTTGCCCTACAGTAAATTAAATAATTTTCCGGGTTCCTACGACGCCGTTTCTTTGAGAATCAAGATCTATTTTTGCGGGGCGATTCCATTTTCGCCGTGTAGACTGTGGTACTGAGTACTGATAATAAAAAAAAGTACCAAAAAGTTGAGCTTTCTGTTGGCTTTTTGGTTGTGAATCGACAGCATCAACGATGGGATTAGGTTTCGTAGTCGGGATCTTTGGAGTCCTGTTCCTCTTCCACGCGGCTTATTCCACGATTCAGTGTAAAATTCCATTTAGTTTGTATTCGTCTCTGATTTGATTTGATCGATAAAGTTTTTAAATTTCCTTTTTTGTTTGGATTTTTCCAGATAGGGGGCTGTTGAAGATTATGGAGGAGGAGTTTTCTGATCCACCGATGAACGTAAGTGATTGGATTTGATTTTGTTAATAATTTGTTATCAAAATCTAAAATAATATATTGATCTGAAAAGTGCAGGTGGTTTTAGAGTTGCTTCTAGGGTTTGTTTTCTGTGTTTCAGCTTCCCTAACTGTGCCCGGGAATTTTATCTCCATACATCCTGATTCTGAGGAGAATAGGTATGTGGAAACTATATGTTTGTTTCGGTTCTCATTGTGTATAAACATAAAATTTTGGGTAATGTAGAATCTGAAGGGTTAATATTGTATTGGGAGTAAAATTAGGCTACCGGAAGTTCTTGTTTTCATTCATATAACATTGGGGAAAAGGATGTATACCTAAGGTCTAGGGAGAATAAAAGTTTGGGTGCTGATAAATGTTATTTATATTAATATTTTTTAGGTTTCATTTCCCCCCTAAAGTATCTGACTGACATTTGTGTTCCACACATATTTCTTCATGCTTGGGTGTTGGGGTGCAATCCTCTAAATATGTGAATAAACTTAGAATATCGAGTATACATGTGTTGAGCGTATACCTTTATCTAATAGTCACCTTTTAGTCCGGGTTGTATGCAAATAAAGCTGTTATTGACTAAAAAGAAAGGAAAATTTCTTAGTAGTTCAGTGCTAATCACCTATTTTAGGAGAGGAAGAGGCAAATTAAACTGAAATTGATGTCCATGATCATGTTCTGACTGTCATTGCCATCTTGTTTAATTGAAACAAGCGTGGTGCCTCCCTGTGTGATGGGTGTAATAGTATTTCATAAACTACCTTTATCAGTTTTCAGCATGTAATCTAACGATTGTATGTTATGATTCTGATTGAATGTCGGTCAGTGATCACAGGGTTGAATCTTCACCGACCATTGAAGGTCTTAGTGTATTTTAATCTTTTGAGTATTCTCTCTTGAGGATTTCGCTCAGCAGTCCCAGTGTGAATCTTCACCAATTTCACATGGACTGATATGCCATTGAAGGCCTTAGTGTGTTTAATCTTTGAGTGCTCTCTCTTGAGGATTTCACTCAACACTCCTTCCTATGAAATATGCATATCAGCTATAACTTTTGAACAAGTAGCTCAATGAGAATCTGACGATATTTGTTGACTATTCATTCTATTTCAATACTGCAAACTTTTATGGTAATGAAACACTACATGCGTATTTGCATTTTATTAACTAGATAGTATACTTGCTCTTAAGAATCTCTCAGCTATATGCCATCATGCGTACTGACTGATTATTGTTTTCAATTTTGGTGGCTCCTGTATTTTGCTTTCTCGAAACGTAGTACTTGAAACTTCATGTCTTTCATATGTAACTCAAATTCAGTTTGTGGGGAAGTTAAAATTTTTGAAGCTATTGTTTTATTGTTGTACAATTATTATATTGCTTTTCGAAATCAAGAAGTATAATCTGGGATGCAGGATTGTTTCTTTACCGTCAAGCTTGGACTTCACGATCTTCAACCACAGAGCCAAAGCACTTCCTTTTGAAGTTGACATGAAGCTGAAGCATTAAGATTGAAGAAGCTTCCTGGTGCTTCTATTAAGGAGACTACAAGTCTGTTGTACTTTAGAGTCTGAACCTATTGTTGGTTGTTTTCTGATATGGTAGTGCTTTTAACCATTCACCTCTAGCTAAACTTTGGATGCTGGCTATCTTTTTTTCCCATTTTGTTTTGCCTGACATGTCATTAAACCTAGATTTCAGTTCGAATAATTATCAGGGCTTGTAACAGGCCAGCAATTCAATATATTATTATTTAAATTTCAGTTCTGATCTGTTTAGGGTTTGGCATGGAGCAAATTCATGGAATTCCCAATTATATCCAATCCAAGTGGGTAGAATCTAATTTCATCTTTGGGTACTTATTGTTTGTTTGGTGTTGAATTCAGCTTAGTGCTTTTAGTTATCTTTGGTCCTAGATCCATAATTAATGGATTCTTGGGGTTGATGGTTGGTGTATTATTTTGTATCCTATTATCGCATGGTTTTGAATCATGAATTGAGCCCAGCATGACAACTCCTACCCATCTTGTTTGTTGTCCTCCTGCTACGTTATACTATTTGCTTTGCTATATACCAGCATGGTGCACGATATATAAAATGTACCATTAACAAATAACATAATATGGATACATTCCTGACAATTGATTTCCAGACCAAATACCACTACTCGAAGTCAAAGAGAACAATATAAGGGATGCATATTAGGTTTGAGATTTACCCTAGAACTTGAGTTAGGAATACACCTCAAAATCGATGGATTCTGACATCAACCTAGTCCAATCTGATCGGGTGTTATTGCACCCCTTGCCATTGTCATCTCTAAGCCAGATGCATGCCTGTGGTGAACAAATTAAACATGCATGCACATTTGAGGTACAACATTTAGTTCAGGCTTCTAATGATCCAATATTATGGTTCAATACAAAAGTCTCAACAATCCACAATCAGACAGCCCCAATCTCTAGCCCTTTTCCCCTTTACCGTAACACTTCCTGTTGCCTGTATGCAATAAGAAAACTAAACAAGCAGAGGTGGCATAATCTGCAACACAAATTGGTGGACCTTATCAACACAAAACTGCAAAACAATCATCTGATGCAACAATGAAGTTTTGGATTAACCTGTGGCTCCAAGGAGGGGTCAAGTTGACTGCCTATTCCATGCAAAAATTGCTTTGGCACATTCCGAACTCGAAAATATTGTCACATGACAATGCTATGGTGCTAAAAACTGAAAATCTACAAGTTTTACGCGCTACCATAACTAAAATGATGTGGTTTACTTTACTTCCCGTCCCATGGGGGCGCAGGCATTTCCATGAAAAAATGATATCATACAAATAATAGAAGCAAATCAATGCAATCATCAAAGAAAATGTGCCAACAAATTCTTTCTCACAGCTTCATTCCTGAAGTTTCTTAGTCTTATATTTATCTAATATAGAGGTGAGAGGAAGACCACATGGATCAAAATAAGTAATAATTACCGGGACAGATTCTTCCCCTATTTATATCCAACATAAGTTAACATTACAGACTATAAAATTCCAAATAAGAGACATCTTTAAGGGGAGACAAGTTCAATTCACATGGATAAGATAAAAAAGAATAGCATAATGTTAAAAGTCAGCATCGAAAACGGTGCATTAATGCACAATTCGGTGCAATGGTCAAAAGGAGCACACAATTGTTGAAATTGCTAAATGGTATAAGTATAATTTAGTCATTGTAATTTAGGGTATTTACAAGTTAGTCCTTAAAGCTTCAACTATAAATACCCTAGCTCATTTAGTTTCAAAACCAGCTTCAAAACCATCCCAAAGCATTCTAGCTTTCTTCCAATACTAGAGAGAATTTAGAGAGTTTCTTGAGAGTTGTTTTCTCCTTTTTATCAAGAGAGAAATTATCATTGTTTTCTCCTTGGTAGATCGAGAGAGGTTGTAATTCCTATTTTCTTATAGTGAAATTCTTCTACCGTTGCCCGTGATTTTTACCCTAAATTTTTTAGGGGTTTTCCACGTAAATTTTGTGTCTCTTTTATCTTCATTTTTATTTTCTGAAATTATCAGTTGCGATTTTGCTCTATCCGATAGCCGTCTTCCGCAACAATTGGTATCATAGCTAGATTAGAGTGTGTAATATCTGCTTATTGTCTTTGTGGTTGCCACCAAAAGGTAGATCCTCCAACATAAGAAAATAAGAAGTTATTACCCATTCTTTGAAGGTTCCAGAGAACTATTCACGATAGTGAAGTAGTGGGAGCTATCTGTAGAAGAAGCTATGGCAACGAAATTTGATATTGAAAAATTCAATGAGAGAAATTTCTAATTGTGTAAATTAAAGATGAAGGACATCCTAAGGAAAGACGGGTGTCTAGCGGCTATCAATGAAAGGCCGGTGGATTTCGCAGATGACATCAAATGGAACGAGATGGACGGGAATGCTATGGCAAACTTTCATCTAGCATTAGCAGATGAAGTATTGTCAAGCATCGAGGAGAAGAAGACAACTAAGGAGATATGGGATCATCTCATCAAATTGTACGAGGCCACATCGATGCACAATAAAAATTTCCTTAAGAGGAAATTGTACACTCTCCGTATGCCAGAATCTACTTCAGTGACGGAACACTTAAATACACTGAACACCTTATTTTCTCAGCTTACATCCTTAAGCTGTAAAATAGGAGAACAAGAACGTGCTAAACTTCTACTTCAAAGTCTACCGGATTCGTACGATCAACTCATCATCAACTTGACAAACAGTAATGTCACCAGTCTAGTCTTCGATGACGTTGCAACTGCTGTTCTACAAGAAGAAAATCGGCGCAAGAACAAGGAAGACAGACAAGTAAATCTGCAACAAGCAGAAGCGTTGACAACGATGAGAGGGAGATCAACAGAACGTGGCCAAAGTAGCAGTCATAAACATGGTAGATCGAAGTCGAGGAGCAAGAAGAATTTAAAGTGCTACCACTGTGGAAAGAATGGTCACTTGAAGAAGGATTGTTGGAGTCTAAATAAAAACTCCAATCCACAAGGCAATACCGCAAATACTTCAGATGATGGAGATGCTCTATGTTGTGAAGCGTCAACCACCGTGGAAGGCAGAAAAAGATTTGCAGATATATGGCTCATTGATTCGGGAGCGACATATCACATGACTTCAAGAAGAGAATGGTTTCATCATTATGAACCTGTCTCAGGAGGATCTGTGTATAGTTGCAATGATCATGCCTTAGAGATTGTTGGTGTGGGAACCATCAAATTGAAGATGTATGATGGAACAATTAAAGTTGTTCGAGATGTGCGGCATGTGAAAGGTCTGAAGAAAAATTTATTATCCTACGGATTGTTAGATAATAATGCTAGCAAGATTGAAACACGGAAAGGAATCATGAAGGTGTTCCGTGGAGCGCTTGTGGTGCTGAAAGGTGAAAAGATAGCTACAAAATTGTACATGCTGAAGGGAAAGACATTGTTAGAAGCAGAAGCCTCTGTTGCCTCATGTAGTTCAGATTCTGCAATGTTATGGCATAAGAAACTTGGACACATGTCAGAACAAGGAATGAAAGTCCTTGTGGAGCAAAAGCTACTTCCATGCTTAACAAAGGTATCACTTACTTTGTGTGAGCATTGCATAACAAGTAAGCAGCACCGGTTGAAATTCAACACATCAAATTCTAGAGGCAAAAGTGTTCTAGAATTGGTTCACTCTGACGTATGGCAAGCACCAGTAACATCCCTAGGTGGAGCAAAATACTTTATCTCATTTATTGATGACTACTCTAGGAGATGTTGGATGCACCCTATTAAGAAGAAGTCAGACGTGTTTTCAACTTTCAAAAACTTCAAAGCGTGGGTGGAACTTGATTCTGGAAATAAGATCAAGTGTTTCAGAACAGATAATGGAGGAGAATACACAAGCGAAGAATTTGATGACTTTTGCAAGAAAGAAGGCATCAAAAGACAGTTCACAGTGGCGAACACTCCTCAATAAAATGGAGTGGCAGAGCGGATGAACAGAACATTGTTAGAAAGAACAAGAGCAATGTTGAGGGACGCAGGCCTAGAAAAATCATTCTGGGCAGAAGCAGTCAATACCGCCTGTTATTTGGTAAATCGAGCTCCGTCAACTGCAATAGAGATGAAGACACCAATGGAGATGTGGACTGGTAAACCAGTTGATTATTCAAGCCTCCATGTATTTGGAAGTATTGTGTACGTGATGTACAACGCCCAAGAAATTTCAAAGCTGGATCCAAAATCCAGGAAATGCAAATTCTTGGGGTATGCTGATGGAGTAAAGGGGTATCGCTTATGGGATCCCACTGCCCGCAAAGTGATCATTAGCAGGGATGTTATCTTTGTAGAAGATAAACTACAAAGAAAAGAAGACGATGATAGCGCTGAAAAGTCAGAGACTACTCAGATACATGTGGAAAAAGAGTTTGAAGAAGGAGATTCTTCTGAAGCAGAACCAGCACATGATGAACAAGAACCAGAGAGTTCTGAAGCTCCAATAACTCGTCAATTAGATCGTGTGAGAAGATGTCCCAATTGGCACTCAGATTATGTTATAGAAGGTAATATTGCATACTGCCTTTTAACAGAGGACGGTGAGCCATCAATATACCAGGAGGCAATAAACAGCTCAGATGCTTCACTGTGGATGATGGCGAAGCAAGAAGAAATCGAAGCCCTTCATAAAAATAATACATGGGACCTTGTGCCACTACCACAAGGAAGGAAGCCAATTGGTAACAAATGGGTCTTCAAAATCAAGCGAAATGGTGACGATCAAGTTGAGAGGTATCGTGCAAGACTGGTGGTCAAAGGATATGCTCAAAAAGAAGGTATTGATTTCAATGAAATATTTTCTCCTGTGGTTCGACTAACAACAGTTCGAGTAGTTTTGGCAATGTGTGCTACATTGAACTTACATCTAGAGCAGCTAGATGTTAAAACAGCTTTTCTTCATGGAAATCTTGAAGAAGAGATTTATATGCTCCAGCCTGAAGGTTTTGAAGAAGAAGAAAAGAAGAACTTGGTTTGCAGGTTGAACAAATCTCTGTATGGTCTAAAGCAGGCGCCGAGGTGTTGGTATAAGAGATTTGATTCCTTCATTATGTGCCTTGGATACAACAGACTTAATGCAGACCCTTATGCTGATTTCAAGAGGTCTGGTGATAACGATTTTTGTTATATTGTTGTTGTATGTGGATGACATGTTGGTTGCAGGACCCAACAAAGATCATATTGAAG